ATTTTTCATATAATATATATAATAATATATATAAATATATAAAATATATGAAAAATTGATGTGGGTACTCAAATGAAAGGTCTTGATGAGTGTAACATCGGGATGAGCTTATATCTTTAAAAATGTCAATAGTTCACAAGATACAAGGTCATTTCTTAATTACGTATCTAGAGATAGAGCATTTTCGAATGCAGAATTTAAAAATTAAAAATTAAGAAAAAATACTTTTTAGGTTTCTTCTTCTTCTTTTTCTTAACAACAGTTCTGACAAAAGTATCACGTTCTATCCTTGAGGATTGTCTGGAAGGTGGCGAGTCACTTATGCTAATAATATTATCCAGGTCTGTAGTGTTGCCTTGTACCTCCGGAGGAGGTGTTAGATAATCCTGAGAGATTTTCTGAGAAGAAGCGTGGCTTATTTCTTCAACAGGCTCATTTTCAACAGTTTTACAATTTATTTTTACAATTTTTTTCTCCTGCAAGTCACTAGTTTCCTCAATACTGAGCACTTCCTTCGTGCTGTCACCATTGATGACTGACTGAGAAGTAAATTCACTGATCACCAATTCATTTTCAGAAACATGACTGAACTCACTGTCATCTTCATCATCAATAACAACTTTTTTATACCTCTCATCTTCAGATTTATCATCACAGTCAATATTATTAGCAATAACTGTACGATCAGCATTTTCAACCTCTGAAAAAAAAGTTTCATCAGAGTCAATGGTGTGATTAAGCGACCGACGCGAGTGAGAATGCTCTGATTGGATTTCATCAATATCAACCAGAGACCCGTCCAAATCCCCAACGAGATCACTGATTGTTTTATTGCTGTCACTGAGAATGGTCAGGTTTAAATTTGGCAAGTTCTCGTCGCAAACCACGCTAGTGTCGGACTCATCAATGTTGATGCACTCTTGAGTAATTCTAGGCGAGGATATCGACTGAATTTCTTCAACCTGCGGCATGAAAATTAATGTAGATGGAAATTAATTTAGCAGATATTTGATAATTTTAAGAATTTTTTCGATAAATAAATTATGCCAAAAAAGTAGAAATAAAAATTGACGTATAGAAATTTAAAAAAAAATAAAAAATGAAATTTTTTAAAAATAATTTTTTAGAAAAAATCTATTTGCTTAAATAAAATTAAAAAATTGTCAAGTGACAGCTAACTTTAATGTCATTTAATGTAGCATATATTTAATAATTTTAAAAATTTTATAACAAATAAATCATGGCAAAAAAAAAATAAGAGAAAAAATCAACAACTAGAAATTTAAAAAAAATAAAAAATGCAATTTTTTAAAAATAATTTTTTGGAAAAAATCTATTTTTTTAAAATAATTTTTAAATGGTTAAGTAACTGCTAACTTTATTCTCATTTAATGTAGCACAGATTCAATAATTTTAAAAATTTTATAACAAATAAATTATGGCAATAAACAATTGACATCTAGAAATTAAAAAAAAATCAAAAATGCAATTTTTTCAAAAATAATTTTTTGGAAAAAATCTATTTGTTTAAAAAAAATTAAAAAATGGTTAAGTAAATTCTAACTTTAATGTCATTTAATGTAGCACATTTTTAATAATTAAAAAAATTTTATAACAAATAAATTATGGCAAAAAAAAATAAGAAAAAAAATCAACATCTAGAAATTAAAAAAAAATAAAAAATGCAATTTTTTAAAAATAATTTTTTGGAACAAATCTTTTTGTTAGATAAAATTAAAAAACTGTCAAGTGACAGCTAACTTGAATATCATACCTGCGGCGAATTGCAGTCACTGTGGACAGACTCCAGGAATAATGATGAAGGAGCTGGAGAATTAAGCTCCATTATCTCCAAAGGACTGTCATCAGCTGGGTTGACAGAAATCGGCGACAAGCAAGATTCAATGTTTAAATTTTCTTCATATTGATCAACAATATTCTTTTTGTACTTAGAGAATTTTTTAGGAGATGATTTATTATTCACCTGGTTTTCTTTGGCTTTATTCTTCACTGGTGAGTAATTCAATCGAATTTGAGCGTTAAGTTTCTCGCTGTCATTAGACTTGAATCGTTTCAGCTGATTGCAATCTTTCAGCGGCGACCGCGGGGTCTTCTTGGAACTTCTTATTAACTGAGGCGGCGAACCGTAGACTACTGACGAAGACACCGAGGAAGGCGAGGAACAGTTTGAAGTGGTTAAATTATTTTTTTGGACACTTTCGTGAGCTTGCAGCCACTGCTCTATGTACTTTGTTCTGTCGATAATCACCCGGGATTTTATCCTAAGCTCCTCCCGGCGACGTTTGTCAGGATTTGTTAATGCAGAAATACCTGGTCTGTCACCGCAATTTATTTCTGCTATTCTTGGGTGTTTTTTTCTTGGAGAAGCTTGCTGGAAACTGCACCTTCCTTGCAAGTCTGATAAAGAAGCTGTCAGTGGCTGCAGTTGATACATTTTTTGGAGTTCCGGATCCATTTTTTCTTTTATTTATTAATTGTTGTAAATTAAAATTAATTTAGCAGATATTTGATGATTTAAGAATTTTCTTTTAACAAATTAATTATAGCAAAAAAAAATTGACCTTTAGAAATTTAAAAATACAATTTTTTTAAAATAATCTTTTTGTTAAATAAAATTAAAAATAGTCAGCTGACTGCTAACTTAAGTGTAATTTGTTGTTAAAATTTGACAGATTGGTTATGTTGGAAAAAGTTAATTTTTTTGACACAGAAACGTCTTTTTTTTGTTAAAAACTAATTAAAAGTTAATTTTAAAAATTATTATATTGTTAATTATTGCAATTTAACACTTTATTTAAAATTTTATAATTTTGTGAACCTGTAAACAGTACAAAAATGTAAACACTGACCACGGTGACACTGTAGGACTTATTTGCAAACAAAACTGACCGCCATTTTGAATCGCCATCTTGACGCAAAAAGCGCGCGAGTTTTTAAATTTAAAAATTTTTATAAACTTATTTTATTGAAAACATTTTAGAATAAATATAAATTTTTGAAAATAATTATCACTGTTAAAAAATATGAATAATTTATATTTTCTTAAAAAAATTCATTAAGGAGGTCCTTTCGCCGCCAATGTAAAATAAAAAATATTAGATTATGAGTAAATTAAATTTTTTTATAATAGTGGAAGTCCTTATTTATCTAATAGTGAGGTTTAAATTATACTTTACCGGACAAATTTTTGAAAAAATAAAATTTTTAAATGTTAGTATTTGTTCAGAGTCTTACGAGAAAGTCAGACGTTTGCAGTATTTCTCGAATTATACTATCAGTAAAAAAAAAAAAAAAAAAAAAAAAAAAAAAACAAACACTGCTCTAAAATAAATTAAAAGTTATTCTTTTTTCTGAAAATCTTAAAAAATTCTTAAACAATTTTTTTTGTTTTTTTTTTCAAGATATTAAAAAATAAAAACTGAAAAAAATAACGTCTTAATAAAACAAAGCGTGAAATTCTTCACATACTTTGTTAACTTATTTAAAATTTAATCATAAATTATGACTGTAAAAATTCTCAAAGCAAAAATACTTTTGCGACTATTTAAAAATAATAATCAACAATGCCGCTTAATTTTTTTTACCTGTGTCCACAAAAGTGTTCCTACACTGGAGTTAATTTTTATCATTCGGTCGTCACATTTTACGACTTCATTCCAAGAACCTCATATACATTCAATATTTAATGCGCTCTCCGCGACCTAAAGAATAACACGCTCAGTTTCTATTTAAAAAAACAAATTATAAATACTACAAACATACTGACAATTTGCAACATTGTTATTCAATGCAATAAAAATTGAATTAAATTAAATTTTTATTTTAAGGTAGTACTACCGTTACCACAGGTGTCAAATTAGTGCTATGTGTAGTTTGACTTGCGCAGTAATTTGACTTGACAACGCCGCGTAAAAGAAAAAGAGACAGAAGTATATTTTCTGTTTCACTTTGAATATAAGATGCGCAAAAGTCTATTGCGCAAACATTTATTTATTTTTACCAAAACTTAGTTTATCCATATCTTTTTATTACAATGTCTGATAAAAATTCATTAAATCACACCAAAATAATGAGAAAGCGCATGATGCTCTTTACGATGTTGTAATGCTGGATGCAGTTATAAAAAAATTAGGCATAACTTCAAATGATTTAATGGGCAGTTTCTTTCAGTGGGATGATGCATGCAATAAAATATCATTTTCTGAAAATTTGCCTCAAGCTTTAAAAAATCTTGAATTGATAAAAAATTGTGTATCAGCAGGTATGAGGAAAAAAATGGTTGCTGCAAATGTGACTTACGAACTGCTTCAAGATGCTTATAAAATAAATAAATATGCTGGTCTAGTACAAATTTTAGGTAAAGATGAAAATGGTGTAGTAAAAGTTACCAAATCTAAAAAAATTTTAGATAAAATTTTTAATTACTTTGAAACTAAAAAAACTTAAATTAAAAAATGTTATATTTTAAAGTTGACTTTTATTATACTACGTATTTTATAATATGTTTATTTATTTAATTATTTAACTGTAGTGATAATAAAGACGTACGTATGTTTTGTATTGAATTATGTGTATAACACTGATATTCCCATATACCGTATTAGTTTATGTTTGAATTTCGCGCGCGTCATAACCTATTCGCGGCGTTGCCACATGTAAGTTAGATAGTACTTTTTTCTTAATTATTTATTAATTACTCTTATCACAATCTCTGAAGCTAAGGTTTTATTAACCCACAATATTCAATTAATTTTTTTCTTTCTATTGATACCAATTTTATAAAAATCTGAACGGCTAGTTTTGTGAAATAAATTAAAATCTGTGATTTCCCATAAGGATCAATGTTAAAGGCAAAAATTTTTAAATATTTTTATCTTTTTTTCAGTTCTCTGTAGGCTTCCAAAAATTTAACTGGCTAATTATGATATTATAATCTACCAATATGCCAAGTTTCATTAAATTCTGAACGGTAATTCTAAAACCGGTAGTACTACCTTAAAACTTGCGCTGTGAATTTTAATGATACGCTTATTGTATATAAAATATAAAGAGTTGCTTTATCCAACAGGCAATTCTTCAATAATGTGAAATAAGAATATTTTTTATCATTTCTAATATGAGCATTAAGATTGTATTCGATTTTTTTTTTTATTAAAATGAGTAAAATATTAAAAAAAAAAATTCTTTTAGATGATCATTAATGTAAAAAAAGTATTTTATTCCAAGATTTATTTATTTCTCTCTCCATTCCTTCTTCTGATATCTGCAAAGAACTGAAACGTGATTCAAATCTCACCGGCCGGCCATTCCTCGTTGCGCTTTCTTCTAAATAAGTTCTGACTCACAAATCGTGATTTAAAATCAAAACTAACGTGAGTTTATCTTAAAAATTAAGTAATTTTTTAATAGTTTAATAAATAATTATTTAAATAAAAAATGTAAGTTCAGTGTTTAATTTATAATAATTAAAACTAGTTACAAAATAATATTCTACGATCAAATGTAAGTTGGTTAATTAAAATCTTAATAAAAAATCAATTTTTTATAAAGATTTTATTTTAATAATAAAAATAAAAATTATTGTGATTTTAAGTTCTAGATATTTTATTTTGTTGCTAATTTTTCGCTTGGAGTATAAAAGTTGACAAGTAAATTTTGATTAGAAAAAAAAATTCAAAATTACGGATAATTTTTAATTTTTACAAGAGAAAAAATTTTAAGTATTGAAAAATATTCAAATTTTGTTATTGCTAATACTTTTTAGTTCATTTTTCTATCGAAAAAGTCATAATATATATCATATTACACTATACTAATAAATATAAACCTTATTAGTCATTGAAACTTGAGTATAGTTATTATTTCTCAAGAATTACCAACTAAATTCTTCTGAAATATATTTTAAAAATTACTTCAAAAATTTTTTAAATCTGAATTATTATTATCATTATTTCTAATAAAAATAATCAGCTGACATTGGCAATTATTTTTTTTAATTTTATCAGATCGATCCATAGATAAAACATTTATATTTTTAAAAAGAAGGTATCAATAATATAACGTTCAATATCGTACTACAAAATAATTGTTTTCAATGATAAGCTGTCAGTTTGTGTAACACAGTGTTCTTTAAAATAAGAAGATAATTTAATAAACAAACCATAGCGGAAATAAATTTATCATTAAGATAATTCATATCAATAGTAGTGTAAAATATTTTTTTAATTAAAAGCTTGAATCAATTTTTTTTTTACAAAATGACTTCTGATGCACCAAAATCAATTATAATTTTTAATTTAAAATAATTTTAAACAAAATTTTTAATTAACTTTGCAATCGTTTTTCAGATCTGACCTGTGGACCTTATTATAACCAAATAAACAGAGAAAATAAACAGTTTTAATTGAACGAACAAGTAAATAGTGTCTTAAATAAGGTTCCATGATTCTTGATCCCAAGACAAAATATCCTTAAAATAAATATCCCCGGACAAAATGTCTTAAATAATTACATTTTCCAATAAAACAATTCAAAACAATAAATTTGAAAAAAATTATCAATTTTAACACTTATTAATGGCATTTCAACAAATATTTGTAGCACGAATATTCCAAAAGTTAAAATATTGGTCATTAGGTAACATTTATAAACTATTACAAAAATGATCATGATTTAACTATCACAAATACAACAGAATGAAATTAGTTGATAAATAACAACGAATACCACTAAATTAATTGTTACCAAAAAATTAATTATCAATAATACTGAAAATTATAATATTTTTGAATATTGCAACTGTCAAAATATAAAATAGAATTGGATTCAATCACCCTTGCAAAAAAATTCTGAATCAAAATAAATTTAAGATTAAAATTCATATTTTGACACAAATATGAATTAGTTTTGAGATTAATCCAAATTTGAAATTGATTTGTATACAAATTTTAAATATAAAATTTATCCAAAATATTCTTAAGTCTTTATTAAAATTCTGAAGCAGGATCGAAAGTTCTACAGGCGTGCTAATTTCTATCTACAAATCAATTTCAAATTTATATTGATCTCAAAATTAATTCATATTTGTGTCAAAATATGAATTTTAATCTTAAATTTATTTTGATTCAGAATTTTTTTGCAAGGGTGATTGAATCCAATTCTATTTTATATTTTGACAGTTGCAATATTCAAAAATATTATAATTTTCAGTATTATTGATAATTAATTTTTTGGTAACAATTAATTTAGTGGTATTCGTTGTTATTTATCAACTAATTTCATTCTGTTGTATTTGTGATAGTTAAATCATGATCATTTTTGTAATAGTTTATAAATGTTACCTAATGACCAATATTTTAACTTTTGGAATATTCGTGCTACAAATATTTGTTGAAATGCCATTAATAAGTGTTAAAATTGATAATTTTTTTCAAATTTATTGTTTTGAATTGTTTTATTGGAAAATGTAATTATTTAAGACATTTTGTCCGGGGATATTTATTTTAAGGATATTTTGTCTGGTAACCGTTGCTATGATAACCATTGCCAAAAAAAGGTCACCATAGCAACGAAAAGCGACAACAATGAGAACGTCACATCAACTTTTTAATAAAAGTTATGATTATGATTATTTTCATGGAAAAATTCACCATAGCAACGGTTACCATAGTAACAGTTACTATAGCATCGGTTACTATGGCGACGGTTACCATAGCAACAATTACCATGGTAACGAAAAGCGACAACAATGAAAACGTCACATCAACTTTTTACTAAAGGATTATGTAATTGCCCGTGCAAAAAAAATTCTGATTCAAAATGAATTTAAGATTGAAATTCATATTTTGACACAAATATGAATTAGTTTTGAGATTAATCCAAATTTGAAATTGATTTGTATACAAATTTTAAATATAAAATTTATCCAAAATATTCTTAAGTCTTTATTAAAATTCTGAAGCAGGATCGAAAGTTCTACAGGCGTGCTAATTTCTATCTACAAATCAATTTCAAATTTATATTGATCTCAAAATTAATTCATATTTGTGTCAAAATATGAATTTCAATCTTAAATTCATTTTGAATCAGAATTTTTTTTGCACGGGCAATTACATAATCCTTTAGTAAAAAGTTGATGTGACGTTTTCATTGTTGTCGCTTTTCGTTACCATGGTAATTGTTGCTATGGTAACCGTCGCCATAGTAACCGATGCTATAGTAACTGTTACTATGGTAACCGTTGCTATGGTGAATTTTTCCATGAAAATAATCATAATCATAACTTTTATTAAAAAGTTGATGTGACGTTCTCATTGTTGTCGCTTTTCGTTGCTATGGTGACCTTTTTTTGGCAATGGTTATCATAGCAACGGTTACCATGGTAACGGTTAAACATTAATAAGTAAAATTTGTAAAAATATTGATTAATTAAATTGCCGATAATAAACATTTTGACAGAAGTGCGCAAAGCGCGTTCGATTTTCTAGTATAATATAAATAGTTAATCAAATATATATCTTAATTATTAAAAGAAATAATTTTTGCAACATTTCTCAAGAAAATAATCTGGAAAGGACATAAGCTTGTTACCGAGTTGTGCCCTTTAATCATGGATTTTGTGTAATATTTAGTCTCGGGGATATTTTGTTGGAGGATCAAGAATCCTGATACCCCTAAATAATAATATTATTATTATTATTATTATTATTATAGATTAAAGAATTAATTAATTAATAATATTTTAATTAGCAGGTAAAAAATCGCAGCGAAGATTAATAATTAATTATCAAATAACTAAAAATGGAGTCGAGCAAAAAAATAATTAAAATGAATAATGAGAACACTTACGAATGGAATATGCAGATAAGTTCAGAAAAGAAGCAACTGAGCTCAAATTTATTTGAAATAAAATCTTCGCCCGGATTAAATTTTTGCATCTCTGCTGAAATAAACTCTCCCAGTACTTTGCTGAAAGTAAAAATCATGAAAACTTACACAAAATTGGCAATAGCGACTATTGAACTAAAAGTAGCGGATTTGCCGCCAATAATCAAAGACGTCGCTGAGTGGAAGGATATCGTTGAATTTGACAAAATCCAGATCCCTTTTGCTACTGACGATTGCCAAAAAAATAACTGGAACGTGTGTAACTTGACAGCTCCAGACAGCCATGTATATCGGATTAAAATTCTTTGTTCAGTAATTTGGTACGGATTCAAAGATGAATTGTTATCACCGAACTTGTTCGAAGACATGCAGAAGTTTTATGGAAAAACTGAGTACAGTGACATTACTATTTGCGTAAAAGATATTGAAATTCATGCTCATAAAATTGTACTGGCTTCCCAGAGTCCGCTTTTTGCGGAAAAAATTTTGGCCGCGGAATCGAGTGAAGATCCTAAGGATCGTTGTATTTATCTTGACGGAGAACATGAAATAGACGTTGTTAATGAAATGATGAGCTTTTTGTACTATGGTAGGCTGGAAAAAGCTCACTATGATTATAATATTGCTTTGCAGTTATTTCAAGCTGCTGGTGATTGCATGCTCATTAAATTAAAGGATGTTTGTGGAGTTATATTAAGCAATAAAATTACTGTTGATAATGTGCTGATGCTCTTAGAGATCGCGAGAAAATATAATTCGGTAATATTGCAACAGCGCGCTATGACATTTATTATTAATAATAGAAAATTGTTGTTTTCTAAATGTTTTTAAATTAAAATCATCGATAATTATTTTTATTTAATTGATTATATTTTTTAAATTTATTTTCTTAAAAATTTTTAATTTATTAATTTTGACAATTATATTTTAATCTACTTTTAGGGGAGGGGGGGGGCAAAATGGGGTACTTAAGCAATCGTAATGATTTTAAGGACTTAAATACGCTGATTTTTCTCGTTTTCAGTCGTAATTAAAGGAAAATAATCAAATTTCAAGTTGCCGTAGAAAAAAAAAATTTTTTTTTTGCGGGCAAAATGGGGTACTCCCTGAAAGAGTGAAAAAAAAATTTCTTCATCCGAAAATGAAATATCGTTAAAAAAATAACATTTTCTTATCGATAAGTCTACGAAAGAACCCAAAGAGAGGAACAAATCACCCAAAAAAGAGACATTAGTTGAAGCAATATATTGTCTCAAGAAATTCATTTTCTTCCAATTGGTGTTCTTGGTTCAAGATTTTTGCTCTTTAGTCAAGTTAAAATTTCTATCAGTGCACACACACACACACACACCTTGATAGAAATCTTCGTAGGAGTATTAAGAGCTACTTCTTAGGACCTTAAAAATGTGGAGATCAGATTAGAACTTGATTTTCGAAAACTGGCTTTGAACCAATGACTTCCCGATTTTTTTTTAAAATCATTTATTTTTAAAGTGAGAACTTGAAAATTTAGAAAAAAAATCTTAGATGTGAAAAAAAAAATATTATGATGCAAAATGACGATGAAAATTACTGCACAGTAAAAAATTTTTCGTCAATTTGTAAAGTGCAAAAGTTTTTGTGTAGCAAATTACACTCTAGTGTGTATAATTTTACATTCTCATGTGTTGATTTAACATACTAGAATGTAGAATTGACATTAGTTTGTGTAAAAACAGTCAGTAACACAAATATTTGTGTTAAATTTGACGAAATTTTTTTTACTGCATGTAAAAAAAATTTTTTTTCCTCTGAAATTGTAGGAAATGACGTTAAAATATATTTTAGAAAGCTAAAAAAGCTTTTTGAAAAAAAAAAATTTTTTTACGAAATTTTGGGGGTACCCCATTTTGCCCCCCCTCCCCCATTTTGCCCCCCCCCCCTCCCCTATTTTTATATTTTTATTGTTACTTTAAAATTTATATATTTTAGACTTTTAACTAAGCCGTATTTTTAAATTTACAATTGTATAACTTGTGCCTGAAATTAACAAGTCTGACGGACTATTCTAAAATAAAATAAATTAAATTATTTTTGGATAAAATTTTTAATATCTTCTATTAATAAACGAAAAATAAATTTCTTTACCTCATCAATATAATCAGAGTAGATTATTTACCAAAATTTCGAGCAGTTAAATCGCTTGTATCTGTATGAAAAACATGAGCTCCTTTTGAACTGATTATAAAATGAAAAATTGATAGCAAAATAATACAAAGCACCATTTTTAACTTCATCGTTATTGATTTGAGATATCTAAAAAAAATTTAGAAGACTCAAAATTTGCCCACGCTAAATATTCTGAGGTAAGTAAATAAACTTAGAAAAAAGCTGAGTTATTAACTTACGATTTGTACGACTTACTTGAAGATATTGATACAATTGAAAAGTGAGTTTCTTGTGAAAAATTGTTTTTTAAATATTCTGTTATATATATTTTCTAACGCTTATATCTCCGAAATTATTAAAGTTACGACTTTTGCTTCTTCCATAAAATGTAGCTTTGTGACGCAAAGCTTTAACATAAATATTTTCAACTACAAGTACTGTTGAAAAAAAAAAATTATTTGAGACAATAGATTAGCCACAAAAAAGTTGAACTAATCAATTTGTTTTAACAATTTATAATTAGTCTAAAATAATTTTAACTAAAATTCATCGATATCATGTCTAGGTTAATCTAGGTTAAGGTTAATTACAATTAATTAAAATAATATTTTTTTTTTTTAATTTAAAGAACCCTAGGAACTCCGCCGTCCATCTTACGGCATTAAATAAATTATATTTATTTATATTATATTTATACTATATAGTATTTATATTATATATAAATATTTTCTGTGTTGTTTAAGGGGGATGGCCACTGTGAAATTTCCAAAAAAATAAATTTTTTTTTTTCTTATTAAATCCAAGTTTATAGATTCATAAATAAGTATCTAGAGTTTGGTATCAAAATTCCGAATATTTTCCGAGTTATAGTCATTTTTGTGACAGCGCGTCAAATGACTTTACACGCGCGGCACTCCGACGAAAACGCGTTTTTCTCGAAACTACTTTTTTTGAACTGATGAGAACTGTAATTTGCATAAATATGAACCGATTTGCAACTTTTTTTTCCCCCCGTATTTGTCTATTCAATAGCTATAGTTGCACGTAGGGGATTTTGAAAATTTTGATTTTTAAGATTTTTTAGGGTTGTTTGAATCCAAAAAAATGAGGAAAAAAAACGAAAAAATTTTTAATATGTCGCCATTTTTTTTTAAATCCAAATTTTCAAAATCCCCTACGTGCAACTGTAACCACATGTATGCAGATTACAACGCTCTTTCGTTTTTTCGTTTTAGACAATCCGTTTTTGAGTTAGAGATCTCATCAGGGAGGGGGAAATTTTTTTGGTGCTCCACAAAAATGCTAATAACTTTGTGAGTTGTCATGTTGATGATATTTTTTAATAAAAATTTAGGAGAGTTATCTTTAATGTATACTTTATAAAATAAAAAAAACCCGATCCCCGAATTCCTTTATTATCCCAGTCAAAAAAATTCCCGAAAATCACCTATTTCTTCGATCCTCCGCACAGTGGCCATCCCCCTTAAATGCATTTTGTAAATTAAATATTATCGAAACTTAATAAAATTATAATTAAATAATCTAAATGTTTATTTAATTCTTCAAGTCTTTATTAATATAATTTTCTGTCTCGATAAGAAAATGTATGTTAATTTGTACAATCAAATAAGTTATAAATCATGAGTAAGAATACTAATATGTACTCTTGAATAATTGTTACACGTGTCTTTCTATTACAAAATTAAATAGATAAATAGTTAAAAATATTTACTTAAACTGTGCTTAGATAATTATATCTAATCATGATGTCTTTTCTAATATTAATAACGCACATATATTATTGGTCACGTACACAATTGTTAACAAAATCGTATAAATACCATCAGGTAGACTTTTAATTTTTCGTCAGTCTATTCTCTACAAAGCGCACAAATTTTGAGCTATCAAATTTTCTCCAGAAATTCAGAATCAATCAAAAGGAATTTCAAAATTGTGTTGTGTATTGTTTTGTTATCAATTTTAAGTTTTGTAATCAGTTCAAACGGAGCTAGAATGTTTAACATGTCTCACGACGACAGTTCAATGATTGCTCGAGCTTTTGGAAAATGATCTGCTGATGACATTTATGAGGTAAGGAGATAATTCCTGCTAGAAAAAAATCTTTTTGATGACTTTAAAAAAATTCAAAAGATTTAACGAAATAAATTTGTAACAAGTACTTTGGTATAATGAGGTAAATTCGGAGTAGCTCGCCGGATTCCAGGATTCGGACGGGTTATTAGGATACAGTTCTCGTTAAAATTAATAAAATTTATTTCTGGAGCGAACAGTAATCTTTATTAACATTTAAAATAATCTCAAATACAAATATATTTCTATATTTATTTCCTCTTTCTATTTAAATACTACAAGCTAACGGCTCCGACTCAACCTGCGTTTCCTTAGCAAAGGTTTACAGGGAATACGAGGAGCTCGTGGTCCCGGCAGCGGTGCTCGATCGTATTACAATTTTATTTTACATACGAGAACACGGCCTCGGTTACCTCAAAGCGTCTACGAGTCGTCTCTACTTTTAACGCCAGTGCAACTGACCAGGAGTCGACGAGTCGCTAGGTCCCTATTCTTATATACTAATTTACTCTGCTGATGGCTGCTTCTTTATCTGCTTTCCTCCTTGGTATCACCGTTCACACGACGGCTGTGTGGATCTCTGCTGAGCCTCTTTGACTACACCGTTCACTCGACGGCTGTGTATGTCTTCGAAGATGATCCCGTGCAACTCAATAGCTCATGTATTCCACTTGCTATTGTAGTTGGACACCGAATCGTTGCTGCTTGACCTCTTTGGTCCCACGTTCAAACGACGACTAGTAGAAGATAACTGCTACTAAAAGAATATCCCTGAGGATAGAATGATCCTGTGTAACTTTACTGAGCTTGTGTATTCCACTCGCTAGGATAGTTGAGCACTGAATGACGTCCGAAGCTCCGGGCCCCGGTTTTATAGGCATTTCTTCCCGCGCGTCCGCACCACTAGCGCTTCCTGTCCCGTCTTCAGTGCGCACGCCTTCTATGATGCGCGCGCCCTTCATTGTGGTGCGCGCGCAGCGCAGCAGCTATCCCTACTTTCACAGATGTACACTTGTATATTTTTTGACTGTTCCTTGTAATATATTTTATTGGTAATAATTATTACTATTTATAATAATTATTAAAATATTTTTTCTTTATTTCGATAATAATA